AAAATAACATTTCCTGAGCATGCGTGCAGAATCTCTTGTATTTTACAATACAAAGTGCGACCCCGTTATGTAAACCGGCTCCATCTAGTGCAAAAAAATAGCACTTCCTGCGCATGCGTGCAGAATCTTTCGTATTTTACACTGCAAAGTGCCTTCCGTTGCGAGCCGATCTATTTATTCCACAAAATAGCCTTTGCTGCGCATGCGTGCAGAAACTCTTCCGCCCGACCCGACTCTTCCCCCCCGTTCGAGCACTCGCGTGCCAACTGGATCGCACATCAGTCGTCGCCGTCGTCGTCGTCGTCGTCGTCGTCGTCGTCGTCGTCGACGCTGTATTCGATGTGGTTATAACGAGGGGAGAGATGATCTTTATGGTGGGGTGGCTTGCGGGTGGGAGTGACGGCCACCGCAGGTGGGTTCGCGGTCCAGGTGTACTCGTGGCCACGCCTAGTAGACCCTAAACCCTAAACCCTCAACCCTGACCCCGGGGCCCGCCGGCCGCGGGGGGGGGGCTCCCGCAGGCGCGCCCGCCGCGCCGCGGAGGCCCTCCGTGGGGGGGGGGAGGTCGGCTGGCGGAGGTTCGCGAGGATGTCTTGGGTCGGCGCAAGACAAGCAGCTCAGAGAGGCGATATGACGACATGTCCCCAGCCACTGCTCACGAGCAGCTCGAGCGACAGGCCGCGGCTGGTGTCGGTCAGCCGAGAAAGAGACCCGCAGGTCGCCATTGGGGGAACTGGGGCCTGAGGGAACCGGTGCCTGAGGCTTTCCGCCGCTGTCGGGCTCTCGGGGCCCTCCACGGGCCCCGAGACTGTCAGGAGACGGCTGTGGAGGAGAAGCGGGTGCTGGGGGAAGGCTCCAGGGTGCGCTTCCCTCAGGGCCCGCTCCCCCTGGGCAGAGCCGGGTTTCCAGCCAGCCTCTGCCGGGCAGAGGCACAGGCATGCTGCGCGCACTGGCGCAGAACGGTGGCCGTCGTGGCGCCCCCCGTCTGTTGTCAGCGGCCCTGCGCCTCGTCTGACGTGGGCTTGGCCCGTGCGGCGTGGTCTGGTCTCGTCGCACACATGTGGGCGCAGCAGATCAGAAGCCGGCCTGCCGGCAGGTGCCCACGGGGAGCTCTGGTCCCCCGGTGGCCCCGGGGGGGTCACAGAAGCCCTGGGGCGAGATCTCAGGAGGCCCGCATCTCGACGACAGCGTGCCCCCGCCAGGTTCCTTACAGCAGGACTTCGCACCGTCTACTGTGCTCGGCAGTCTGGCTTGCGCAGTCGGGCCTCGTGGGTGTTGAGCACGGCCTCTGCTCGAGTCTGGCCGCGGACGTCTTTGCGTTGCCACGGTCGGCAAGCCCTGGTGGCTCTTCCTCCTCGTGCTTCCTCGTCACTTCCGCTTCCTGGCGTGCTCACCCCTTGTCTGGTTCTTACATCGTAAAGGCTTACGCCATTCCGCCGACCCCCAGGGGGGGGAGAGAACTTAACGGTTGAGGTGTGTGTGTGTGTGTGTGTGTGTGTGTGTGCGGGGGGGGGCAGCCTCTTGGGGCTTGTTTTGGGGCGTCTTCGGGGCCTCTTGGGAGCGTCTTGGCGCTTCTTGGGGGCCTCTTGAGGCCTCCTGGGGGCATCTTGGGGCGGAAGGCTCGAGTTGGCGGTTCGGGTTCCCGTTCTTGGGCCCCTCTTGGGGCCGTCTTTGGGCTCTCTTGGGCCGTCTTGGCAGCCTCTTGGACCGTCTTGGGCCCTCTTGGGCGTCTTGGGGCTCTCTTGGGGGCCTTTTGGGCCTTCTTGGAGCGGTCTTGGGGGCCTCTCGGGCCGTCTTCAGCGCCGCGAAGACCGAAACGTCGTATTCGCAAAGCGTGTGCGTTTTCCTTAGGGAATTGGACAATGTTTGCCTCTCGGGAGGCTTCTTGCAGGCCGAGACGGGCGTATTGGGGGCTTCTTGGGCCGTCTTGGAGCCATCTTTGGGGTCTTGGGGCGATTTTTGGCGTACCGGGGCTCTCTAGGGCTGTCTGGGGGGCTTCCTGAAATAGTAATGGGGGCCCAGGAGGCCCTGGGAGTGTGTTGACGGGCTCGTCTACACAAGCCTTTTAATCGGATTTTGGGCCCCAGGGGAGAGGGGGAAAGGTCAATTATCTCACGCGCCTTGTCACCCCCGGCAAGCGGGGGTCGGCGGATAAAACCCTGCATCCGTGCTCTCTTTGTGTATGGATGCCTACTTCGCTACTCAGGCGGCCGCCCGCCAGGGACAGTGCCAACCCCACCCCCCCGTGTCAAACAAGCGTGCAAATTTCATAGGGCGGCAAACGCTGGACCTTGTGCGGGCACCGATCATCCCTTTGCTCGAAGAAGAAAAACCGCCATAAACATAAATTTTCGGCGCTCCGCGCGGATTTCTAGGGTCCGCGCTGGGGCCCCCTGGCGGCGCCGCGCGCCAGGGGGCCCCAGCGCAGACCCAAGAAATCCGCGCGGAGCGCCGAAAGTTTATGTTTATGCCGTTTGTTCTTCTCCTATATGCATGGCTCTGACCAGGACGGCTTGGGGAGTCGCGCGTCGTCATCTGCGTGCCGACCCGCCACGTGCTCGTCAAGGCCGTGCGATGCGACTGCGGGTGCGTGCGCCGTGCGCGATGCCGGCCACCCCGCCGTCACGCAGCGCGGCTCTGTCGCGGAAGGCTGGAGCGTCAGCAGACGGCGGGGGCGTTGGCACAGGAATGCGCCCGGGAGGCTGCAGACCCTGGAGGACTCCTTGATCTGGTGAGGGCGGCGGTGATGGCCATGTCCAGGCCTCGATTGGAGTTCCACCGGATACAAGGCCCTGGATTCCTCATCGACGGCTTCCGCGTGCGGCCTGATATAGATTCGGCTAACTTCGACGGCGTCGCCATCCACAGCAGCCGAGGATGTTCCGCCCTTGCCCCGCCCGACGCGGCGCTGGGCTTCGGATGAGGACAGGTAGGGGGCTCCTCCTCTACGCTGGGCTCATTGAAGGCTTCCCCATGGAATGCCATCACCGTGCTGCCCGATGCGGGCTGCCAGGTGGCGCACGCGACGGCCTCGGCGCGCGCCTGGCTCCTGGGCGCACGCGGCGCGCCTGCCATTGGCCTGGCCTGGCGCGCGCGGCGCACCTGGCGCGCGCCGGGCGCCTGCGCACCTGGGCGCACCTGGCCCGCCAGGCGCGCGCGTGGCCCGCCAGGCGCGTGCGCGGCGCGCCTGGCGCGCCCAGGGTGCCCTGCGCATGCCTCGCTCCGCGCGCGCGGCGCACCGAGCGCTTATGCTGTTTTTGTTGTGTTTGCTGTGCTCCTGCTCGCAACGCACGCCGCCAGAGGCGGCGGAGAGCTTGAGAGATGCACCTGCCAAAAGTCCGTACTGCAAGTTTGGATCAAGCATCCGTTCGCTGTGCGTGGTCTGTTTGCAGCAGCCAGGCTGCAGGGGCGCCGTAGAGCCCAGGCCTGCATCTTCACTCAGCCATGAACTTGGAGGCTGTAGACAGATTGCGACTGAAGACAGAGATTGGTCATAGGATCGGCAGTGCTGAGTGCGAGTGTACACGTGCTGACGAGTCTGTGAAGCTAGACATGCAGGAAGCTGCAAAGCAGAAGGGAAAACTGGCAATGGTTTTTGTTGGCCTTGGTTTGATGGGCGTGAGTGCGCGTGCGCAGTTCCTTCTTCCATCTCTCGTAACGGAGCGTCAAGATGAGCTGAAAAGGCGCTGCAGTTCTTCTCAAGGTATCCGGCGACAAAGCCAAAGACATAGCGAAAAAGGTTCCGACTACGTTGGCTAATCTTTTGATTATGCAGGAAAGAAAGCTGTGGAAGGAAGTGTAAAATCAGCTGCGCAACAAAATTTGGATTCGATGCCTGGTGAGCATTTTGTCGAAAAGTTGTGCCAAGCGGTTCGCCAGTACCATCAGGACTTGAGGAGCCAGCTGAGGGACAAAGCGGATGAATAATTGGTCGCACTGTGAGCAGCGCATGACGTAAGCTAGGCAACATTTTTTCCTTTTATATATATATATATATATATATATTATATACATATGTATACACTACAAGGAAGAGATTGTGTCGCGCACTAAACAGTGCCAGGCGATAGATATTTGTGGCCTTCTCGATTGTGAAGCCTGGGATTTATCAAACGCGCTGGCTCTGCAGAGCTTTTCAAGATGACGCGCCGCGCCCTGTATGCATGCACACCTATGGAAAGCAACATGTGGGTTTACGCTTTGCACCATTTGGGGATGTCACTGCGCATCAGTGGACTGACCACGACATGTTGCACTTGTGCGAAAAGAGCCAACACTGGAATCATGATGTTGTTTCATCGTGCAAGGAACCATCATCAGTGGTTGCTGCATGATGTAGCTTGCAGGGCCCGCAGTTGTTTTAGCCTTCCCGTTATGATCAAATATTGTGTATTCTGTTCTGGGTACAGTAGAGCAGGCGTGCACTGACATGATCAAAGCCTACTTTTTTTGCCTACTTGTATGTATCATTGAAATTACGTACATAGCAATACCATGTCCTGTGTCCAGCTCTTATATGTGTGTCTCACGTTCCACCCTCGCCCTCGCCCTTCGTCACCTTCGCCCTTCGTTCTCCTGCCTCTCTTCGGCGTCACCCGAATATTCAAGTACAGTGTTTGCGTCGCCCCCCCCCCAGGGGGCGACGCGCGCACCGATAAATGTTATAGTCTACGCTCCGTGGCATGCGCCTCCTGGCCATACCGCTCCTGGAGCGATATACCACAGGATAGTTCTATATGTTCGGGTCGGACGCACGCCTCTGAGGGGGACACATAGTATTAACCTGGAAGGGTCTTTAGTTTTGATCATCCTCCCCTGATTCTCTCGGGGGAGAATATAGCTCGTCCCTCCTCTTCCTTTTGCTGCTGCTGCTCCTCCTCCTCTTCCGTGAGAGCGCTCCTGAGGCAGAAGTAGCAGTAGTTGTCGCAGTCGTCGTCGCAATCGTAGTCGTAGGCGTCGTCGTCGTATTCGTTGTTGCGCGGCGGGTGCGGTGGGGGCCCCGCCAATAGCGGGTTGCCCGCAACTGGTGGGGACCCAGTCCGTCAGTAAGGACGTGGAAACGATAATTACGTTCCACTGTTGGGGGGGGGTTCTAATCACCCTACGAGGTTAGTCTGCTCTTGTGCGTCCCATCTCTCCTTTTTGTTTCTTTCCGTCCGCGGACGCCTCGGCGCAAGGGGCCGAGCCTGCGGCGGCTGGGCCGGGCCCCCGGCTCTCGCGGCCGGCCGGGCCCTGAGAGCGGCGTAGCCCAACGCCGACCTCGCCGCCGCCCGCCCGCCCGCCCGCACCGGCCACGCGCAGAGGGGGCTGACGGGCGAGGGGGGGAGGCTCCTTAGAAGCACCCCTGCTCCTCAGCAGGCGCGGGCCTTACCTGTAGACGTAGGGCCAGCGCTTTCTTCGACGACACGTGAGTGTGACCTCTCGCTGGGGTGGCCCTTGGTGCGGGCCCAATGGGGTCCCCCGATCGCCGAGCGCGAGGCGGTGTTGGCGTCCTATACGCTCGTGTTCGGCCCCCTCGCGGCCCCCAGTGAGCCGCGCCCCAAAAGAGGCCACCCTTACCCAGGGTCGCTCCCGCGTGCAGTCGACTCCTGAGAAGCAGCCTCCTTCCAGGAAGCCTTCCCCCCTCCCCCTACCCTCCTGTGCGCGCCGCCAACTTCTGAGATCCGAAGTTGCGAAACAGTTGCATGATCGTGAAACACCGGGACCAGCGCCCCCGACCCCATCTTCCTGCGTCGTTTTTCGCGCTGGATCACGCCGTGAGGGCCTCGGGGGGCCCCACACGGGGCGAACACGCCCGGCGCGACACAAATTGCAGCGCCAAGATCTCAGGGACCGCCGCTGCTGTGCACGATGCGAGGCCTCGGGCGGTGCCGCTCGGCGAGGATCGAAGAAGAAAAAGAGCCATAAACGTAAATCTGTGGCGCTCCGCGCGGATCTCTGGGATCTGGCCTGGACCCCTCCTTCTCTGGCGCGCGGAGCGCGCCAGGGGCTGCGCCGGAGGCGCCGCCAGGGGGGGCCCAGCGCGGATCCAAGAAATCTTCGCGGAGCGCCAAAGGTTTATGCTTATGATGTTTTTTTTGCGGGGTTTGATAGACCTCCTACCCTGACACGTCGATCAGCGAATTGGCCGTTTTCTCGGTTTGTGAGAGGGCGCCGCGGCCGTCATTTTTGCGGGTCCAGGTCCGTCAGTTTCGGTCCCAGGCCGTTCTCACTAAGGTTCAGTCGGGCCCGTCCCTCTACAGGAGGAATATTCAAAAATATTTTCACTAGTAGTTTTTGACCGTTCAGGACTATTTTTTTAAGTACCTCTCATTTTTCGTCGAAAATCCCCCTATAGGGGGGCACGCCCGACTTCACACCAAGGGGGGGGTTCACCACAGGGAGGTCTCTCCACCGCCGATTCTTTTGTTCCTCGGGAGGCGGGCATGGCGCGCTGGAGGGGCGTCGCGCTCCTGGGCGCCGCCCCTCCGGCCGCGGCCCCCCGCGGCCGGGAGGGGCGCGCCGGGCCGTGGCGCGGGGCGCTGGCGTCCTCCGTGCCGCCCTCCGCGCCGGCGCCCCGCGAGGGAGAGCGAGCGGCACGGACCAGAGGAGGAAGCAACGCCATGCACAGCGACTCGAAGAGCAACGCAAGCTCGAATAATAATAATAATAATAATAATAATAATAATTATAATAATAATAATAATAATAACACCTCGAAGAAGAAGGAGGAGGAGAAGGAGGAGACACCTCGAAACTTAATACGAATCAGAATAATTAGTATCAGTACGGATGTTAGAAATCGCAATCGTACTAATTAGTACGAGTCGTAAGCATAATGCTAATGCTAGTGCTAACACTGTTCATGTTACTACTACTACTACTACTACTACTACTACTACTACTACTACTACTACTACTACTACTACTACGACTACTACTACTACTGCTACTTCTACTACCACTACTACCACTACTACTACTACTACTACTACTACTACTACTACTACTACTACTCTACTACTACTACCACTACTACTACTACTACTACTACTACTACTACTACTACTACTACTACTACTACTACTTCTTCTACTACTACTACTACTACTACTACTACTACTCTACTACTACTACTACTACTACTACTACTACTACTGACTACTACTACTACTACTACTACTACTACTACTACTAACTACTACTACTACTACTACTATACACTACTACTACTACTACTACTACTACTACTACTACTACTACTACTACTACTACTACTATACTACTACTACTACACTAGTACTACTACTACTACTACTACTACTACTACTACTCCTACTCCTACTCCTACTCCTACTCCTACTCCTACTCCTACTCCTACTCCTACTCCTACTCCTACTCCTACTACTACTACTACTCCCCCTCCTCCTCCTCCTCCTCCTACTACTACTACTACTACTACTACTACTACTACTACTACTACTACTACTACTACTACTACTACTACTACTACTACTACTTCCACTACTACTTATTAATCATTGTACTCATCGTATTAACGATATTGTAAACACTGATAAGGAGACGCATAAGAACACTTCGAAGAAACACCCACGAGGTACCCATTCCTCGAGGAAGGAAAACACCATAACCATAACTTTCGACGCTCCGCGCGGATTTCTTGGATCCGTGCTGGGCCCCCCGGCGGCGCCTCCGGCGCCGATCCAAGAAATCCGCGCGGAGCGCCAGAAAGTTTATGTTAATGTCGTTTCTCGTTCCTCTAATGCCGCGTTTTTTCATTATTTTCGGTCTGCGGGAGCTCGTCCCAGGCCCCGGGATTGTCAAAAAACGACTCAGGATGAAAAGCCGGTCCCGGGGAAGGGGTCCAGACCTCTGAGGGTCGACGTTGTGAAGGTACCCACACCGCTACCCTTCGCCCGTTTTACCTTTGTCGGCCTCCTGGGAGGCCCTCGTCGCCACCTCCAGATTCGCCTCGAAGTCTGGGTCAACAAGAAGCACCCAGGAGAGGTCTGGGGAGTGGTGGTTTCGCTCCCTGATGGCTTCCTCAACGAAGAGACAATTTCCCTCAGTGGGGAAGCTGGCAGTTTTCGTCATCAGCACCTCGGTTGTTTCTCTGGGAGGGTTCTACTACGGCATCCCCGCGCCGGCTCTCATGGTCTGCTGCGGGCTCCTCCCTCTTCCCCGCCCCGAGCTCGCTCCTCGCCGCCTTCGTGCCTAAGTTCTCTCTGGGTGCACCCAAGCGCCCGCGGAGCAGAAGCAGTTCCCCTGGGGCGGAACGGATGAGCATCGGGCGAAGAGAACTATGCACATGCACCGATCCTGGCAAGGCCCATCCTTGACCCAGGATCGGTGCACATGCCTTCCTGGCCAAGGTAGGGGGGCGTATGCACCGATCCTGGGCTCAGGATGGGCCTCTGGCCAAAATCGGTGCACGTGCATAGTTCTCCTTCCTCCTAGGAGCAGAGCAGAAGCCCTCCGAGCTCCGCGCGGGCTCCTCGGCTCCGCGCTGGGCCCCGCCGGCGGCGCCTCCGCCGCGGAGGCGCCGCCGGCGGAGAGGGGGGGGCGCCAGCGCAGGCCCGGGGGAGGCCCGCGCGGCTCCCCTCCGGCCCTCCCGGACTGCTGGGCCCCACGCGGTGGGAGGCTCGCGCAGCTCCTGCTGCAGGAGCTCGTCCTGGGGGCTCCCCCTCCAGCCTGCGGGCCTCGGCTCGGCCACGTCCCGCCCCGGGGCGCTCCCTGGGCCGACTTCTGGGGCCTGCCGGGGGCCGTCTCGGACGCTCCAGGCTGCCCAGGGGGGGCCAGGGCGGGTGGGGTCGGAGGATCGCGCCGCAGCGCCGATGCATCGGCGATGCGGCTCGGTGCGGAGCCCCACGAGCTGCACCCCGTCGTCACCCGTGCATCGCCGACGTCGCCGGTGCATCGACGGTGCATCGGCGATGCGCCGGCGATGCGGCGCAGTCCTCCGGTCTCGTGTGCTCCGGCCCCGTCTGTGGGAGGCCTCTTGAATTCAGTCGGGCATGCCTCTCTACAGGAGGAGAATTCAAAAATAGTGAGAAAATAGGATGGGGACGATCTTTCGATTAGTTAGTTCTTTTATTGATTTGTTCTTCCAAATCCCCCTGTAGGAGGACATGCCCGACCTGAATGCACTCCGACCCCGTCTGGGAGGCTTCCGGATGTGTACGTCTGTGCTGGCTCTTCTTCCTCCGCAGCCGCACCCCCGCCGCGCCGCAGCTGCGCGCGGGGGTCGCCGCGTGCGCGAGGGGCGCACTGTGGCAGCGGGCGCTGGCGCTGCTCTGGGCGGCGCAGGTTGGGCGGGGGTAGGCTTAAGTCGGCCACGTCCCTCTGCAGGAGGAATATTCGAAAATGGTCGAAAGATAGCCTGGGGACGATTTGTCGACCATTTTCTATTCTTGTTGGGGTATTGTTCGACTATTGCCAATTTTCCTTCCAAAAATGTGACTGTAGGGTGACATGCCCGACCTAAGGGTAAGACGAGGATAAGTCCGTGCCGGGACGCTCTGAGAAGGCCGCGGCGCCCGAGACATCCTCCAGGGCCGCGGGTCTCAGAGATTCTCGATGTATCCTCCCCTTTCGATAGCGGCCAGGGGCTTCTTGAGCGCATTTTTGGGGGATGGCGGCAGTGAGCTCACGGAAAGCAGCACCTTCTGCTTTCGGTGAGCTCATTGCCGCGATCCGAATGCATGTGCGCCGTCGCAGACACTTGGCGGAGGAGCCTCCGGCGGGCTCGCGACACGTTTCCTGCACCAGACACTGACGCCCCTCTCCGTGCCCCGGCTTCGTCTTCACAGGAGCGCCGCGCCCGCCTGACCGCCCACGAGTACAGCTCCGCGATGGACGCGTGCGGCAGGGCCCACCGCTGGCGGGGCGCGCTGGCGGTGGCGTCGGCGATGCGCTCGGCGGCGGTCCTGCCCGACGCCGTCGCGTGGAACGCACAGGCGGCGCGGGGGGCCGCCAGGCTTCGCGAGAGAGGGGCCGGGCGCGGCTCGGAAGGGCCTGGGCTGGGCGTGAGACGGTCGGCCTCGCACAGAGGGGGGCTACGGTGAAGGGGGGAGGGCTTCTTAGAAGCGCCCCTGCTCCTTAGAAAGCGCGGGCGCTCTCGATAGATGTAGGGCTGGCGCCTTCTGAGAGACAGCCTCTTTCTCAGAAGCCTTTTCCCCTCCTAGGGGAACGAATAGCGACATACACACAGAAAACTCGGAGGTCCGCGCGGATTTCCCGGATCCGATCTGGACCCCCCATGGCGGCGCCGCCCCTGGCGCGCTCCGCGCGCCAGGGAGGGGAGTCCAGCGCCGATCCGAGAACTCCGCGCGGACCCCCGAGTTTTTCATGTTCACGTCGTTCTTTCTTCCCCCAGGAGGGGGAAAGAAAGAACGACGGCCCGCGCTCTCCAAGGAGCGACTAGACGTAAGAGTGATCTTTCGCCGGAGTGACCTCTGGTGCGAGCACAGATGGGCCCCCAGGTGGCTGAAAACGATGCAGGAGCAGCGGCTTGCGCGCCCAGGTTTGGTCCCCCCGCGGCCACCAGAAAGCCGCGCACCAAAGGTCACTCTTGCCCAGGGCCCCTCTCGCGTGCAGCCGAAAAGGAGCAATGGGGTGCTTTCAAGCGGCCTTCTCCCCTCCGCCGCAGCCCCCCCCTCTGTGCGCGGCCGTCGAGCGGCGGGCGTCGGGCCCCTCCTCGGCGGCGTCTTCTCCCGGGGCCCGCCGGGGTTCGGCCTCGACGTCCGGCCTCGGCGGTGCCACCGCGGCTCGGGCAGGCGGCGCTGCGGAGGCAGGGGGGCCCCGGGGGGAGGGGGGGGGAGGAGGGGGGCAAGCTGGGCTTCGCTCGCGTCCTATCTGGCGTCCTACCCCGCCCTCCCATCCCTCACCATTGCGCAGATCTTCTCCCCATTTGCGCACGATCGGATGTCGCAGCAGGGCAGCGTAGTACATGGCATAGCATGGTGTTGAAGAGTAGCGCGTAGCATGCCATAGCATGGGGTGGCGACGCCCAACACGAGGGCGGGGGGGCTTGTGCGGCCCAGCGAGTCAAATAATCGACACCGACTGTGTAATCACTTCGGATGGTTTCTTCGGGAGACAATGTTTTAGCTTTTGGGGCTTATTTGGAAGGACGGAAAACCATGCCGTGGCATGGCACTGGAAATAATTACGCCAGCGCTGCAGCAGAAACACGATTCGGAACGAGCGGAAGCGCGGAAATCAGGCCAGCCCTGCAGCGGGAGCACGATTCGGAACAAACGGTAGCCCGAAAATGAGGCCAGCGTCTCAGCGAGAGCAGCATTACACAAAAATCAACGCGGAAGCGCGGAAATGAGGACGTGTAGCCTAACATAGCATGGCGTGGCGACGCCCCAAAGTGGGGGGGCTTCTGCGGCCCAGACAATCAACGAATCGACACCGAATGTGGAATCACTTCCGAAGGTTTTTTCGGGGGGGTATTTTCTAGATTTGCGTGCTATGTGGAAGGACCGAAAACAATGCCGTGGCATGGCGCTGGAAATAATGACGCCAGCGCTGCAGCGGGAGCACGATTCGGAACGAGCGGAAGCGCGGAAATCAGGCCAGCCCTGCAGCGGGAGCACAGTTCGGAACGAGCGGTAGCCCGAAAATGAGGCCAGCGCTTCAGCGAGAACAGCATTTTGGAAAAAACAGCGCGGAAGCGCGGAAATGAGGACGCGTAGTCTCACATACATCCCCAGGACGAAAGTGTTTTCTTCTTGGGCCTGGAACGACGGCTTGAAGTCTTGAGCAGACTCGCATGAGATAACTGCCGTCGGATCCCGTGAAGTTCGCGCGGATCCAATTGTGGCTTTGGCGTCTGCTCCGTTGGATCCGATTTCCGCCCGCGCGGATCTGATTTCGGATTTGCTGGATCCGTGTTCCGTCTTATTTTCTTTGGCGGATCAGATTTTGCAATCTGTATATATAAACATATAGTGTTACATTGAAACGGGAAGCCCGAAGAAATCGGATCCGCGGACCCCGGAACCCGCCCGTGTTAAGATTCAACGGGGGAAGAGGGTTCGGTCATTAACTTCCAACTCATCATCGCCATATGCACCTCAAGAGGATTTTTTCGTCCTGCGTAAGTAGCATGGCGTGGCGACGCCCCAAAGTGGGGGGGGGGCTTCTGCGGCGCAAGAAATCAACGAATCGACACCGAATGTGGAATCACTTGTGATGTTTTTGTGTTGAAAGGGGGTATTTTCTAGATTGTGGGGCCGATTTGGAAGGACCGAAAACCATGCCGTGGCATGGCGCTGGAAACAATGACGCCAGCGCTGCAGCGGGAGCACGATTCGGAACGACCAGAAGCGCGGAAATCAGGCCAGCGCTGCAGCGGGAGCACGATTCGGAACGAGCGGTAGCTTGAAAATGAGGCCAGCGCTTCAAGCGAGAGCAGCCTTTTGACAAAAAAGCCAAGCGACAACCCGTTTCCCGGGAATCCTGTGTGTGAAAAGCCAGTGCGCGGAGGGGGGCGGGCCACTTCCCGGATGTTACCCAGGGAGAGAGGAGAGTAGTACAGTCAACCAGGATAATAAGGATCCGCGGTAAGGATGCAAGGGCCTGTGAACGCCATGTTGAGGTTTTCCGTGCGGAGCACGGCCGGAGTCCGAAAGATGCAAGGGTACCCTGACGCGCCGCCATTCTTTCCGAACGTTTGCCAGCGAAAGTTGGCAAGGGGCAAGGATGCAAGGGTACCCTGGCCAAGTTGCTCCTTCGTTATTACCATGATTGACTGTATTCGTATTGTTTAATTGTGGAGGGGGGGGGGGGGAGGGGGGGTCCTGGGGCCAAGAGCCTTCTCTGGGACCAGCTTTTCATCGCGGGCCGTTCGCTGACAGCCCCGGTTCCTCGCCCTCCTCCTCCGCCTCCTCCTCCTTCCCACATCTCTCCTCCGCATCTCCCTCCTCCTTCCCCCATCCTCCTCCTCCTCCTCCTTCTCCTCCTTCTGCTCCTTCTCTCTTTCTTATTTTTCTTCTTCTTCTTTTTCTTCCTCTGATTCCCCCTCGTCCTCCTCACATTCTATATATACGCTTGCCTCCTCTTCCTCCCTCTCCTAATCCTTCTCCTCCTCCACCTCCTCCTCCTCCACCTTTGCCTCCTCTCCCTCCTCCTCCTCCTCCTCCTCCTCCTCTTTCTCCTCCTCCTCCTCCTCCTGCTGCTCTTCCTCCTCCTCCTCCGCCTCCTCCTCCTACTCGTCGTCTAGCCCGAGAAAGGCCCCAGGGGGCCCGAAAAGGGTAACCCAATCTTCCAGGACCCGTCCAAACACAAAGGTGAGCGACACAGAGAAACGAGGTCGTCTGCACGGGCATTGGCGCGCAAGCTGTTCGCGTAAGGTCTCGCGTGAGCGCCCTCGTTTCCAACGCGGCGGCCCGCGTAAACCGCGGCGTCAGGTCGCTGTGGTATCTTGCGCAAGACTCGCTTATCTGTCCATGCAAGTGGCGTGATAAAAGCTGACTTCTCGGTTCCAGCATGTCGCCAAGGGGCCAGGAGAAGATCCCACGGACCAGGAACAAGGTTTAAGTCGGGCCTGTCCCTCTACAGGAGGAATATTCAAACATAGTTTTTAAAATCGTCTGGGGACGATCTGATGAGTATTTTTGACTATTTTGGAACTTCCCCATATCTTTTATTTTTCGCCCCAGATCCGCTTGTAGGGGGGTATGCCCGACCTCAGGCTAGGAGAAGACCCCACGGACCGGGAACGGGGTGAACCGACAACCCCCGAGGGGCTCTATTCGGCCCCGCCGCCGTCCTCCATCATGTAGAGAGGCGCTCCCCGCCGCGCGCGGTCCGGTGCCGGCGCCTCGCTCGCTCAGGTGGCGTCCATGGCGCGATCCCAGCAGTGGGCCGGCGCGCTGGGCCTGCTGCGGCGGGCGCTGGGGCGTCCGGGGGGCGGCGCGGACGTGGCGGGCTGCAACGCGGCCCTCGGCGGGCTGGGGGCGGGCAGGATCGGCGGCGCGGATCCGTCACGCGATGCGAGCCCGAGGAAGAGGAGGAGGAGGAGGAGGAGGAGGAGGAGGAGGAGGAGGAGGAGGAGGAGGAGGAGGAGGAGGAGGAAGGGGAGGAGGAGAGGAGGATGAGAGGAGGAGGAGGAGGAGGGAGGAGGCGGAGGAGGAGGAGGAGAGGAGGAGGAGGATGGAGGAGGAGCAGGGAGGAGGGAGGAGGAGGGAGGAGGGAGGAGGCGGATGAGGAGGAGGAGGAGGAGGAGGAGGGGAGGGAGGAGGTGGAGGAAGGAGGAGAGGAAGTTGGAGGGGAGGGAGGAGGAGCAGGAGGAAGGAGGAGGAGGAGGGGGGTAGGGAGGAGGAGGAGGAGGAGGAGGAGGAGGAGTTGGAGGAGGAGGAGGGGGGAGGAGGAGGAGGAGGAGGATCATGTGGGAGGTCGGAAAAACATCGCATCACGTGACGAAGTCCCTCTGCCTGCAGGAGGTGGCGGCAGGCGCTGAGGGTCCTCGAGGACCGGACGGTCGAATCTCTGTTGCGTGAGCAGCGAGGGCGGTCGCCGACGCGGTCAAAAAGCCAGCGGCCGGCGCTGGGATGTGGGTGCACACCAAGACGGTTGCCCGCTGGCGCGCAGAATCTTTCGAGTGGCACCCTGCCGATCGTCGATCGATGCGGCGCGGCAATGCTGGCTTGCGCGATTGCGTTGGGCCCCCACGGGCGCCCCGGAAGCCGCACACCAAATGGTCACTCTAGCCTAGGGTCACTTCTCCTACGTGTAGTCGACCATGCCAAGAAACACCCTGCTTGCTTCCAGGGTGCCCTGGGTTTCCTGGGTTCCGATGGTTTCGCGATGGAGAGCGTGACGCTCCCACGCCAGAAAATCGATGGACACTCCAGGATCTCAGGGTCTTGGGCTTCTTGCGGAAGGTTTCCTGTGGACTGACCTCCGCTGTCGGACAAGAGGAGGGCGGCCGCGGAGGAGGAAGCAGGGAGGAGGCCCCAGGCGTAGAGAGCCTGCGCACTGAGGAGCGCGCATCGCCTCGGGGGTGGACAGGAGCCCCACCCTGACACGCCGATGCGTGCACTGCCCGCCTGCGGTGCTCGAGAGGGCGCCGCGGCCGTCATCTTCCAGGCCTGCGCCCGCCAGGTTTGGGCCCGAGGTCGTTTTCACTAAACCACGTTTTACTACAGGGAGGTCTGTCCATCCCCGATTTGCACATTCTCGTTTTCTCTGTCCTGGAAGCGTCCACGGCGCCCGCCAGGTTTGGGCCCGAGGCCTTCCTCTCGAAA